TGGATGGATGGATGGATGGATGGATGGATGGATGGATGGATGGATGGGATGGATGGTGGCTTCACTCCTTCCCAAAAATAGTTTCATCAACGAAGGTAGTCATTCCCCAATTCGGGTTGACAAGTACCAAGTAAATGAACGCACCAAGCAGTGAGTGTCTTGCTTTGCTTCCCTGTAACCCGTGGCTTCGACTCCGACCTTCCGAAACGTCCAACGGGTGGCTCCACCAGGTAACCCAGGTAGAACTCACGGCCCACCTCGCGACGAATGAGACGATGTCTCGTGCTTTTCGGGGCTCAGGGAGGTCAGAAAGGATCCTGACTTGACCGCGCGTGGGGTCGGACCCGAATCCTGACTGGAGGTGGATCCGAACCAGTCCGTTTTGAGAGACCAAGGGTTGACGACTCTAGAACAAGCGAACAGAATCGAATTGTCACCAAACTCCAGGTCTTGACTCACGGCCGACGCCCCGTCAACCTACCAGGGAGGGTCGCTCGTTCGCGGCTCGTTCCGGGTTTTTGATGAAGCCAGGTGCCTCCAGGAGTTCCATTGGAGTGAGATGGCTGCTAAGAATAGACCCCTCAAGTGAAGAGGTCAACACAGCAGCAGCTGAGGTACCCAGAGCTTCGCTGCAAAGGAGCCGACACGCGGGCTGTGCTATCGTGGTTGGATGAGATGTGACCCGGGATGTGGAATTTTGCGGCACTGCTGGCGCACCCGACACAGGGCCACTGCTGGGCGTGGGGTTTCCACGAACACCACGTGGAGTTCACGCGGGACAAGGCTCAGAAAGGACCCAACCCTTTTGCGAAACTTCTGACTGTCACAACTACACCAAACCCACATGTAGCAGTTGGCTCGGGTCCATGAGCCTCTGGCTAGTGTCAATCAAAAAGTCTGTTGTTATATGGTTTCAATTGTCAGCTCCTACCGGACTCCTACTCCCCGCTAACAGCACTGAAGGTTCAAGAGAGCTTTCTTGGAGGTCTAGTCGGTTGTTGCTTCGTCTTCAACCAAAAATGTGAAAAAAGGTCAGTGTGATGGAACCAGCCGCAAATCAGTGATTTTTGCTATATAGTATATAGAAAGAGACAAACAGATCCTACAACTGAAAAGAAGGGGCAAACTGCAAACAGTTTCTGTGGGGGTTATGTGGCGAGGTGAATGTGCACTCTTCAATCCAGTTTACAAGGGCATCCGCCCTTCTCGTTGCAAATCCGCTCCTCTCCACCGGCGTTTCTGCAAATTCACCCGCCTCCGCCATGGTCTTCTCCACGATAGGTTTCCAGCCGCGCCGCTGGACCAAGCCTGAACTGGCATGCTTGGGAGCGAAACAATCGTAGATTCCTGTGTTTTCGATGGGTTTGGGTATGTTTGGGTTCATTTACCCGTAGTCAACACGTTCATCGGCGCTCGTCGCCCAAAATGGTCGCAGCTTTGGACTCGGAGATACCTCCCTGAGTTTCAGAATAGATCCAGGCCCAGCTTGACTCGTTCGACCTGGTGACCCAGCAAGTTGAACTCTTAGGGCCCCCCAAACCAACCCGAACCACGGCAGGGGTCGGACCTTCTCCACCACTGAACGCATTCGGGACAAAGGGATCCAAACCTGCCACCCTTCCCAAAGCAGTTGGGCCCAAATTCTTAGGGTCGAAAGTTTAATAGGTTATCCACGGCCGGGGTAGAAAAATGTCTCCTTGCGCCATCTTGTGCCTGTTTGGTGGGGAGGCGCTCCTTTCATTCTTGCAACGGGGTTTTCATGGCTTGGAAGGGCTTCAGTTCCGCCGGCCTTTGGGGTCCGAGCCGCGGAATGGATGTCCCCGATCTAAAGGGTTCGAGGACCTATCGAGTGAATCTTCTGAATCCGGACCGACAAGGTCTGAAACGGCCCCAAAACCGATGGAGTGGTCGACATCTGCGCTTCAAAACAGAATTGGACATCAACCATGGTCCAACATATGGATATGCCAAAACCTTGGGACCTTGATGTTGTATATGTTGAAGGCAGAAAAACACAGTGCCCCGATCCAAAACCTCCGACGATGCGACCGTGGCCGCCGACCGCAGTTGCTGTAGAGCAGTGCTGTACGACATGGTCGGCGGGGCTAGCATCGCGTTAAAGAGATGTGCCCAAATAAGAACCTCCCAAGTAAGAGATAGCAATCATGTTCAATGCTCGCCAGCGTACCCGTTCTCGGATCAAAAAGCTCCACGACGTGCTGGAAAGAGAACACACGTTCAATTCTTATTCTGTTGTTCTATTCTTGGTCACTATCCCCTGGAAGTTGACGCCCAAAATCATCGACCAGAAAATCATCCAAAGTTATCACTGGCAAACCAGGCTGCTGAGCCGATCCCAAGTATTGGTATGTGTTAAGGTTTTCCAAGGATAGTCCTCGGAGTTTGACCCAAAAGATATGTGAGCCAAGAGTGCTTGGAGGAATTGGACATGGGGGGGCTTAATAATCTAGCGTCTACGTCATGCACAAACACATACTTGAGTGGCCCATCCACGACCCCATCCACTATCCACCGACCGATTCGTCCCGAACGTCGGACTGGGAGCCGCTGGCGAGCGGGGTGACACCTGCAGTCGGATTCACCGAAAATGAACATGGCCAACCTACCAGGGTGAGTTCTGGGCAACCCGGGTGCCATGACCTATAATCAACGTCCCAGCCCCCGGTGGGGTGGGAAGTGCCTTCCCTCGCCCCATCCAGCTCTGGGCCCCCCAACCCCGCGCGGAGCGGGCGACGAGAGCGGTCAAGAGCTTGCTGGCCCTCGGTCGCATTCGTTGGGAGTCCCCAGAGGCCGGCTCCCTGCCGCCGGGACTTGGGTTGCCGGGACGTCACGGACGTCAAGGACGTTTGGGGACGTCGGGGACGTGACCCTTTCGGTGGTGAAGGAATGCAAACACCAACCCATACTAATGTCCATTGGCTCCGTGGGGGAGGGTAAGCGCCACGCAGAAGCTCTGAGGGTTAGTGGTTTATGCGTTAACGCTGCGATGCTTGCATCAGCCATCCTCTGACTGGCTGTGGATCTATACCCATGTTTTTCATCGCTCTAAGAGAATGCTTCGCGCTCTTGTCTTTTTTTACTCTGACAGGTCCCAAGCTCCCACCAGCGGTGAAAACAACCTCGGCGCCTTCTGCGATTTCCACATACCAGTGATGTCACACACTCATGGTTCAAGAGGATGTTCCAGTAATGTTCCACATAATGCCGAAAGAATTTGGCACACTTCTCAAATTTCTTCTCTTGCGTGCGCTCCTTATCAAGCTCTCCTTGTCAAGGGCTTCCCCCCACTGTCTCAAGCTCACTTTCCAGCATTCAGCCAGATGTTGTGAAATAAGATGCGCTCTCGGGCCTCTGTCAGCGGCTGGGCGAACTGAACAAGTGCCTTTCCGCTGTCTATCTTGGACAAACTTTAAACCGGTACAGACTGAATGTTGGTATACATCTCGGCACAGCAGATCCGTGCAAGGTTTTGGTTTCCATCAATGACGATGACCTCAGTGCCCTCGGCTCTTCCCAAACCAATAAGTTATATTTGTCTCTGCAAAGGGCAAAAATGACAGGGAATGTATCGCTCAGCGGGAAGGGTTTGTCACTGAGACACAGCCATTGTCACAGCAGCTGAAGCTTCAGCCACGCATCAAAGATGAGTTCATGTCCATGTGACAGCCCATGGTGCTCGAAGGCATGCACATAGCTCTCTTTCCGGAAGCTGGCGTGATGATGCAAGATGCGCTTGGTAAATTGATCATGCCATGCCCAAGTCACCCCAAAGCTGGGGCAAGGCGCTGCCATCGATCTTAGAATCTATGGAACCAAGTGTAAAGGCCTCTCGTATCTACTTGATCAATGGCCCAACCAAGCTTATATCGAGCTTTGCATTTCTTTCTGGCACAGCGAAGCGGCACGTGCTGGGCAGTGCCTAAGCCGCCACATGTCAACATGTGACAAGTTCGCGCAACAGTTGCTCTCACGGCCGGGTGACACACAAGACACGGAAGCTGTTGCGAAACTTCAATGGTGATTCTATCAGCGGTGGATTGCATCTGCGCCACCTGGTCTATAGACTGGTCTGGTAGCAAGGTTGTAGGATCTGCATGTTGCACAGCCCGTGCAATATCTGAAAATGCGAAAGGCAACATGTGTAACGCGCAAGCACGGTGACGACTGTTTAAGGTCTTGTGAGCAGTTTTGTAGCTTGGTTGTCTTCGTAGCTGCTGTTGACATCTGTCTATCAGGTCAACGCTCAACATTGTCTTCGAAGGTTTTATATATAATTATAGATTGGTTGATCAGTTGATGGCTTGATTGCTTGCTTACTGGCTTGCGTGTGTGCTTGCGTGCTTGCTTGTGTGCGTGCATGCGTGCGTGCTTGCGTGCTTGCTTGCTGGATGGAAGGATGACTGGATGGATGGATGTTGATGATGTTGTTGAGGTGATGTTGATGTCAATATTGCTGTCTGCGTTGCTCACTGACCTTGATGTGTTTGATGCCGATGATGTCGCTGATCTTCGTGCTGTTGCTGATGTTGCTGCAAAACGCGCCTCTGGACGTCAAGATGAAGGACGTGAAGGGACGTGACGTGATGTCGCGACAAGGACGTGGCCGCACTGGGACGACAACTGGTGGAGAACCAGGTCATACCCAAACAGGACCTGTGGGACTGGCCGATTTGCCGGGAAACGCCCAGGGGGTCAATGTATGGGCATATGTTGGGGTATGTAATGTATAATCAGGAGATCCGGAACCCATGCTGAAAGGGGTGCACGGTGGACTGCCTGTGGTCGAAAAGAGCGCTGGTGGATCTCGTGTTTTTATATAATTGTTTTTAGTTATGTTCACCAGTCTCATGAATGAGATGCGGCTTCCCACTGGCACCAGTTGGACAAGAAGGGCCATTGTTGATAGAATGACAAAGCAATCTGCAACACGCGTTCTGGCCAGTTCTGAACCCTGTTTTGATAGACAAGGGCCATGGAAGGGATGATGATCCAAATTGAATACAGGTCGATGTAAGTTTTTCACCTGGGACCTGGCAAGGGGTTATCTCCTGGGCGCTTGCAACATTCCGAGCTGGGACTCGTCTCGACGAAATCGACATGTGATCCGAGGTGACTTTAGGTCACTTTCATCGTAGACGGGCCATGGGGTGGTCTAGGGTTTGTAGTCTGGAACCTTCAACTTCACGAAGAACCAGCTGATGTCTTGGAGTGGTTTTGCATCAATGCTGTTGTTCATGTTTGTTTCCAAACAGGTCCTCAGGACAGGTTGCCACTGGCGCCCCAAACCCTGACGCCGCTGGCTGGGCCCTGACAGAGGTCCCAGAAAGCTCTTGGAACGCCGTAGACCATCCACCTCAGCAGGAACAGCTCGGGACACCTTCCACAAAGAATCACCCCGATGGATACCAGAGCCCCGATGGATGATCCCAAAAAGACCACCAGAAGCATGCAGGGCTCGGCGGTTTCGTCGTTGGAAGTGCCAGTACAGCAACTTAGCTCTATGACCACTCGAAGGGTCCAGGAAAGGATTGAATGTGGTAATCGTTGCTAGAAGTCACTGAGGTGGGGTGGTGGGTCTCAATTTGCTACCAAATTTGTAGCTCATGCAACTTAATTTGAATTCTTTGGCATATCCCAATAGCAACTATCGGCTATGGAAGTGGCCTGTAAACAAGAACTCAGGGTGCCCCGCCTTTCTTCATCTGCATGGGTCTATACACAGCATGGGGTCCATCAGCTGCTCAGCAACATAACCTTCATCCTCACGCGCCCCACAACCCTGACCAAGAGATAGGAATACCAGCGGTAAGTCCCACTTCAAAGGTGAAAAAAAGGTGGGAAACACCTGGGCCAAGAACAAGACCGTTTGCCGCGGGAATCTCTGTCACATGGGGTGGGCACTGAACCGCACAAACTTGTTGCACCTTGTTAGCACTTTCACAGTTTGCATGAAATTGCCGTTCGCGGCGGACGAAGTGACAAGAGTTGGTATGCCATGGTATGCCTATTGTTCCAACAGGGAGCAAAGCGTGGGTCTTACCACGTTGCAAAACTCATCCATTCGAAGCAATCGGAGGGCTATTCAGGCCATTCCATTGAATTTCATATCACAAATTAAGAAAGGTGCCCATGAAAGCGTCAGACATGATGAGCCGAGACATGACAGTCACATGGTGAATCGTTGAAAACACTTGAAAACCAAAGCATATTGCTGGTGTGAACATTCTCTTTCCAAAAAACGAACTGTTCATCAGGCCGACCTCCTCCATCTTCTTCCCAACACTCGCTTCTTCTCTTCCCAAACCTCGCGATGGCAGCGCAGCTGAGGCACCACCGACCCCGCAAAGCCATGAAGCGGTAGAGACTGCAAGAGAACCCACTGATCCTCATTGTCCCAGCGCCTCGGTGTCGACAAGACCGCCCGAGACCGCCCGAGCCGGCGCATTCCACAGCACCTCGCCCATTCCGAGCCTGTGGGGGGGGGGGGAATGGTGACCGCTCAAACCGGTTGCTTCGGGAAACTCTGGACACCCGTGTGATGGCTCACCCCCAAAACGATGGCTTTCCTGATCGATGTTCCCGTAAACGAATTCCAGGGAAAATAGACTGAAACCATCTGAAACCCATTGGTTGGGAGGTGCCCCATTATTAGAAAACTGAGATTACATGGACACCCCATGGCACACACCAGGCCTGGCCGTTGCAAGCCACTGGCAGTCCCAAACACTTGCTGCCGGAGTTGGGGGATCGGCTCGGTCGCTCTGAGTGACCGGCTCCCGTCCTTTCAATGTGCCCAGAAGCGAAAATGGCCCGACCCGAACTCGGCCAATCCTTGGGGGGGGTCGGGACCCGAATCCTGACTGGAGGGGTCTGGGGCTTCTCACCAATCCTTAGGTTTTGAGGGACCAGTCAGCTGTGAACAAAGCCTGGGTGGGAATATTTGGGATCGACCGTCTCTGAGCCACCCGGGCCCGTAGAAGCGCAGCACCACCTTGCCCGAGCTCACCTACGAGGCTCGTGTGTCGATGACAAAAAAGGATCCTTATGTTCAGGGAGATTCAGGGAACAAGTTAAACATAAACTGGGAGAAAGGGCAGAGTGGGTGAGTTCATCTTCCAGGCTCGGAAAAAATTCTCAAGTTTGAGACCAACCCGTGGACAAATTCACACCAGCCTGCTTTGAAGTGTTGGACCCCCAAATAAGCCATGGACATCTTCCCATGTCACTTGGCCCAAAAGTATTTGCTGATCCAAATCTCCAACTTGCCTGACCCTTGATCTGGCTTCATCCAACCTGTGCAAGAGATCCAAATTGAAGATATTAATCTCTACATTACATAGATCTCCTCCAACTGCAGACGAAATGCTCTTTGTTAAGCATCATCTGCCCTTTTCGTCTCCACACCGCAGAGACCAACGAAAAACGCCCGAGACGGGTTTTGGCGCCTCAGCTGCAGCTGTGGTCTCAACACCTGTCGAAGCACCTGGAGGTTGTCAGCCGAGGTTGGTTTTGGCCTTGTGGGCAACGGGAGAGGTTCCTCCAAGCACCAACACCCCACAAACCATGGTGCTTTCTAGACTCTACTGCCAGTACCCGACTTCACAAAGAACCACCTGCGACTTTTAAGTCTCCAAAAGCCACCAGAGGAGACCTGTTGGAGGATGCTGGTATATAATATTCTGATTGTGGATTTCACGGGAACCCCAGGTCCCAGGTCGAACGCAGGTGGGCATGCGAGTCTTCGAGCAGTTTGACAGAAAAGGCCAACAAATAGACCTGCATGCTCTTTTCTTCTGATACAGTAGTCCCTGGCAAAGCCCCTCCACGAGGGGCCATGAGTTGTTTGGGAGATGAATGGCCTCCAGTGGCCTTCATGCCTCCAGATGCCGTCATGCGCCATGAAGGGTAAACCGCAATGTTGCGCCCTCCGGATGTTGGACCGAAGAAATTGATCCAACGGGCCGGTTTGACCACTACACTTAGAGTGACCCTTATGGTACTTGGTTGGTCCTGCGCCAGTGCACGGTTGGCCCAATCTGGACGTCAATGCCCAAACAAAGAGTTGATTCATACCAAAAATAATGCATCTTTTGTGTCGAATCGAACAAACTCATTATAACTATAAATAATAGTTTTCTAGTTTTTAGAAAATACATGAATGCATCATGATGCATCATGTCATACCTTCATGTCATACCTACCTGTCATGCCTTCTTCCATAGGCGTCACGTCACGGCATCGGTGAATCCAGGCGTCCTCCTGCCTCCACCTGCTTGCTCGTCGCTCGCTGCCTCCACTCAGGCGGATGTGAATATGGCACTAATTTGAACATACAAGAAGCACATCCGGACCCTCCGTGGGGTTGTGGGTCTTCCTATGACCACATAAGTCACACATAGTCACAGATTGGGAAAATCCTCGGGACCCCACTCCTTGGGGGGGTCCCAAACTGACCCCAACTGCAAACCGACCCATTTTCATGGCCGACCCAGTTTGTCAAACTTCAGGAGCCAAGTAGAAACTCTTCACCTCGAAGTAGTTCCATTTTTGCCATGTTTAAAACCGCAAAGAAGTGCATGAGACCTTCGGTCATACCATCATACCTGTGGTAAACCTCCACACCCGCGACCCTTCGATCTGCCCGATCTGTCGCCTGTGAGGCTGCGCTCGAGGAGGACTGGGACGCAGCGTCGGACGTGTCCTCCGCAGTGAAGCCCTTCTGCGCCGTGAGCAGCACGGCCAGTAGGATGGCCCTGGGCGTGATCAAGGCAGCGGTGGGAGAGGACCCACGCACCACACACCCACACACCCACGCGCCCCACACACAGGGTGGCCGCCCCACCTGTGGTGGGTGGTGAAATGTTCGTGTCACCTCCGAAGAGAACCGAACGAATGAAAGCTGGACGAAACGAAGTGACCTGGTCTTGCGGTGGGCCTCCCGTTCCGGTCTGCGAACGTAGCAAAGATGGGTGGGCCTCCCAAATGATGCAGGTAGTCTAAAGCGCAAAGCAGTGAAGTTTGGCTTGAAGCAGCTGGACAAGGTAAGACCCTCGATTTCTTGAAATTGATGGTCAAGCTGTCTGACAGCTCAACTGGTCAATGCCCTTAAAAGAAAATGTGTTTCAAACTGCTCAGCAACAAGGATTCCGTGATTTCGAGCCGACCCACTCGGTCAAATCGAATTTCAACTAAGTGCGATGTCATTCCAACCACAGGATGTTCATGTAGAAAAAAGTCTTAAACCGTATAATCAAATAGACTATATATTTTTTTTTTTTTTTGGCTAGGTGATATTTCCTCTACTTTCCAAACGAGTCCTTAGAATCTCTCCTTTCATCATCTCACTTGCCAAGCCAGCGCTGCTGTGTGTCCGCACTGTCCAGCGATAGCGATGTCCAAGCCAGCGAGCAAGCCACTGGCCTCGTCGACGAAAGATGGAAGGGAAACTACTTTCAAGGAGTGCTGTTAAGTCCCATTTTTTGCATGTTTAGTCCCATCCAGTGAGTGGATGAGACAGGGGCACCCAACTCCTTCCTCCGTTCGGAACCGGCAACCCTTTGGAACTCCTGGTGCAAAAACATACAACACACACACAGAAAAGAATAAACGAAAAACCTTTCATTCAGCCGAATGCGTGGAAGTGGAAAAACGGTTGGCCGTCCGTGTTGTTTTGGCCGTTCGTGGCCGTCCGGGATTCGTGGTGGATGTGAGTGGCCATGCCAAGCTCTTGCGGCCCCAACTCTGGGATTATTGGGACCAACTTTGGCCATGCCAAGACTTGTCTGGGATTATTGGGACCTTTGGGAGTCCAACGTTTATGATATAGCTCGTGTATGAAAACAGAAGCAGTGAACAAAGAGGCCGCACCCTAGACTCTCACTACATGACACTACCCAACCAGGGCAGGGGGCAATGACAAAAGGAGTACTTGAGGCAGGTCACTTTCATGAAAGTAAACCTCTGCAGGGTGTGTTGACCATCCTCGTCCACGGCTTTGGACTCTGTTTCGCTGATCCGCAGATATCCGCAGGAGCTTCAGCCATGCTGAAAACGAAAAAACAAACAAACATTTGCAAGTCAGACACGTTTCTTCTGGTGCATGTTGCTTCGTTTTCCGCTTGGTGTTTGAACATCAACTGGTACGTGTTTCACTCATCGCTCGTCTGGTCCGGTGCGGAACTGCAAAGTGAGATCACAACTGCATCCGAACGACCCGAAGCCAGCGGCCATGGGTTTCATCGGGTTTCTCACAGGTGTGCCAGGTGTCCCCCCCTGTCCCAATCACACACTTAGTTCAGGTTGTGTGCTCGTTTAGCTCAAAGAGGTGGTGATGTGAAAGTTTCAGGAGCTCAGAGCTGCCACAGATCTCATATATGGCGTGAATCAGCATGTGTGGCCAATTCCTTCCTCCTCAGCAGCAGCACCTCAGCAGCAGCAACTTGCAGCAGCATCTTGTTGCTGAACTGCCACCGTTTGACAGTTTGCACCTCGTGAGGAGCCACACAAAGTAACTTTTTTGTGAACTTGTTACACACTTTCCGTACAAAAAAACCTTTTCTCAGGTGTCCACCCACCGATTGTCCGCTGAAACTCGGACTTCCCCCCCCACCGATTCTCCGCTCGCTGCGACGACCTGTCCCCCTAGCCCCGTCCCCCCCACGGATCGCTTCTGGCGGTGGGCCGTGCTCGTGAGGGGCCCAAAGAGGTCATCGTCGACCAGGAAGATGTCGGGCACCACCTGGCCGCGAACACCACGCGGCAGCGTGGGATTGCACGCGAACACGGCGTGTGTGTGTGTGTGTGTGGCCGGAGGCTGGATTGAAGAGACAGATCCGGAAGAACCCGGGTTTTTCAGGTGATCACGGAAACTTTAGGGGCCGAGCCTCCTGAAGCCTCCTGAAGTGGATATCTGTTTTTTTACTCCAACACCATGCTCCGGAGGTACAATCGGCCCGAAAGGCGGTGCTCGATTGGGTGACCGGTTTGGGCTCGGACGGGGGGAGTCTTCGTAGTACGGATGAGGCACAATCCAAGCGAGAAGGGTCGTTGATTCCTTTATCAGTGAAACGTGATGCCAATCATCACACCATCCGACTGGGTGCTCTGCGGCCCTCACCCGGCGATGGACGCCGGTGCGGACCGACCGCGCCTCCTCGCGCGCTTCTCGCAAGTCGCGCGTGGAGACCTCGAAGCTCCTGGAGACGGTGAGGAACCCACGGTTGGTCGATGCGGCATGCGTCGGCTTCTCGGATGTGGCTGTCCAGTCCTTGGCTAACGGATGCTAACGGTTATAAAAAAAAAACGTCTAAACCGGACTACCTATAAGGGTCTGGTTTGAGTATGCCGAAACTCGGGCAGTCTTCTCGGTTGATCGACGTGTGTTCGCCGCTCTTGCGACCTGGGTCCCATGTTTTGACAAGGCAGGAAGCACGAGTGAGAAGGAGCGAGGACGAGCAAGGACGAGGGGCTGGCAGGATGACTTCATTGTTCCATGTTCCATCTTCGCGAAGCTCCAAATCCAAGCGGGCAATCTGCTACACTCTGACGGACACATCACCATGGTTACGTGGGTGGCATGGTCTCGAGTTTGAAAGAGGACGTGACTTGCCAGCATGTTCCTCCGTGAACGGTGCGGGGGGGGGGCGTTTTCCGTTGTGATGTGATAGAACTCGTGTTCGTCTGTGTTTTGGTCACGTCAGAGAGTACCAGGAGTGCCAAAAAGAACTCCCCAGGAGTTCCATGTGGTTTCGTCCCATCCAATTGAGGCGTCTGTGCTGACGAACACATCCGGTCTCGTCGTTGGGCAGAAAAGCCGTCGACATTCCATGAGAACGGGGCATTGAACCACCCCTTTTCACCCCTTTTCAACCGCCCGAATGTATGTATACCAACTGCTTCCAACGGGTCACCAATGCACAACCCTACCATCCCCACCCTACATATAGGATAATATAGGTCTCCGCTAGGCACCCATTGAAAGTGCTAGGTATGTGAATCGCATACATCATATTCTATGGATTTCTATGGAATATAGAAGGTTTCACAACCCACCCCCCCAAAAAAAGACGATGCAGGGCGGCCCGCCAATCGTCAACTGAAGGACCCCAGGGTCGATGCCTACCGTTGTGCACTCTGGGTATCCCGTCCTTTGATCAGGAAACCTATGCCCCGAACGAACTGATGAACAGTGTTCTTCTGCCAAGTTGGAGGTTTCATTTTTTCAGGGCTGCAGCATCCGTTCGCGATGAGGAGACCATAGATGTCAAGCTTAATGAGTCCTGTGCTTCGCACAGAAGACCTTTGGTCAAAGGACCTCTGGGTTGACCTTCGCAGGATCGTCACCTGCCGTCACTCGCAGTCGTGGCCTTTGAAGCTGAGCATCACGATCGTCGATGAAGGATTCTTCACGCATCACCTGCGACGAAGTCTGTTTAGTAATTACGTGCACGGTGGTGCTTTTGTAAGCCCAGGAAGTTCCACAAGAAGGATTCCTATGCAAGGACACGAACTAATGTGACGGACACCCCTGAAGCCTCTGAGGGCTAGTAGGTCCGCTGAAGGGGGATCTCGACTAAGAAGATTCACCGAGCAAAGGTGTTGTCCTTTAAGCAACACAGAAAGAGATGTTTCAAGGCAGGATCAACTAACTCTCTCTCTCTCTCTTTCCCTCCCTCCCTCCCTCCCTCCCTCTCTCTCTCTCTCTGAGAGAAGGATGCGATGTGAATGTCAGGATAAAAGCGATGGTGATCCAGCTTATCAGTGCCCAGGACCCACGGGTGGGATGCAACGGCAGCATCTGTACGCTCCATGACGCTCCATGGGACTGGAAGATATGCCGCCCCATTAACCTCCCAAACCACCCCTGGCCTGATCCGCAAATATGCTAGTCCCATGGCGTGTCTGCAGACACGCCATGATTCAGACTAGCCAACCCAGAACTGAAGCTAGCCATTTCAGCTGTAGAGGCATTCCACCTGTCAGACCCCTTGGTCCACAAAGGTCCGACCAGCCATCGACATATGGCTACGAAGAGTGCGGACTCGACCTGTAGAATTTCCCACGCCAAAGGCACGGCAACCCCCTCCCTAAGGATCCAGTCGTACCTTCTGAGAAGGTGGGACTGGGCTGGGTGCCAGGAGGGTTCAAAAACCCTTCTGAAGAGGTACGACTGGATCCCGGCCTGACATGCATGGATTTCACCAATCGCCTCGCCAAGAGAAACACCCACACCCCACAGGCCACGAAAACACCTTCCCCACAGGTCACCACGAACTAGCTCGACCCCCAAAGCCGAACGCGCCGAGAAACCCACAGAGGATGCCTACACCAATTTCGAGCACACTGGAACCACGCACCCATACACGCACCCCCCAAACCTGCCTCAGCTCCGCGACGTCGTCGCGGACGGTTCTTTTTGAAACGGTCCGCCGGTCCAAACCGCTGGTCGAGACTCTGCCTGTTGCATGAGGTCTTGTAGACTCTGCTGCAATTGCTGCAAGGGGCCCTGCTGACTGGGCTCCGCCACGAACAGCTGATCCTGCACTGTCGAGGCGAGGGAGTCGAGGCGAACGTGCCGAAGACTCGAACCTCAAAGACCGAGGTCCAAATGATCCCGAGTCGATCGCGGAGTTCCGGTGGAAAGCATAACACCTCTTCATTCCTCTTCCTGGTTCTTCCAAATGACCGAACTTGATCTCCCCAGATTTGAGGTCACTGAGGCCTGTAATAGGTCACTTAGGGACTCCAAAAAAGTCGTTCTGGAAGGTCTAAGACGGTCTGAGAGACGTTACATTGACGGTCAAAACGGTCAAAACGTTGTTTGAGAGAGGCCGGTCGAGTTCTGAGAGTTGCCGCGTCTGCGAACACGACAACGGCAACTGCAAACGAAAAACATCAACGATGAGAGACGGAAGACCCGATGTCCATGATCGAAACACGTGACCATGTGCGGGTTCTTCGGTTCTTCGGGAGAGCAAACAGTTGGATTATGTTTGGGCCAGGGACAGTTGGATAAGCTGTGGGTGTGTGAAAGACCCGCAGAAAGATATGAACCCATCTGAATTTGACCACGGAGATGATATGAATTGATATAAGATGATCAAATGGTTTGAAACTTGGACAAATTTCGTCAAAAAAATATTATGGCTCTCGTCACTAAAGGACGCCATCTTGCAGATCACAAATGTTGGGCCTGCACCCCTAGTTTCGAAGCCCAACAGAAAGGTCGGTCGGTTGCTGCAACCTACCCCTGAACTCTGAAAAAGAACAAACAGCCAACTCTGGGCCAACCCCCTGAAAAAAGAAAAACAACTTGACCGGATGCCTTTTGGCTTGCTCATGTTTGCTCTGAGCTCCGGGCACCTAAGATCCTGACGGTCCTGCAACCGTGAAGTGATGTCCACAATCCGCAGGGCTTCTTGCCTGCACAGCACACGCACGCAGGAAGCCAGGAACCATGTGCACTCGCAAAACTACCCCCTTTCCAGGCAGGATGGAGGTGCCTCCTTTCCGGGCAGGATGGGAGGCTGAACACTTGTCTCTCTTCGCGAGGTGTGTGTGTGTGTGTGTGAACATCCTGGAATCAAGGGTAGATCGTTGGCTCCTCCTCAACAAGCAGGGGTTGGCAGCAGGAAATCGAGAGTGTGCCACCAACACCCCGGCGTACCTGCGTTATGCCTGAGAACTTCCTTAATGGCCCCGTTTTGAACTAGCCTTACTTTGCAGCCGTTCCCTCACGGCAGTCACGCATCTTGGCTCCTGCCCCGGCCTCTTCGAAGAAAAACATTCTTCCAAACAATTCCAAACCCACCAACACATAACTACGGCACTTTCCGAGAAGGTGTTGTCAGCAGTCCCGAAAACTTCTCCAACCAAAAAGACAGGCACGTCATCTGGACGTGGCAGTTCCGCGGAGGGATCTTCTGAACTTCTTGTGTATCGATTGTCCCTTCGAAGATGGGAGAACTTGCTTCGCTCCGACGCACACCGCTCGACGGTTTTGGTGCTCCAAAGTCACAAATCCTCAAGCACGGGATCCAGCACCCCGGCATCCAGCGATTAGGTCAAAGTCAACTGTACAGCAGGAAGAAGTCAAACTGGCCGCTGGACGTTCTGCCAGGGAGCCAGAAGCCAAAAGGAACCCAAAACAAACAGTTCCAAGGTGCTCTTGTAGAGGCCACCGAAAGGCAAAAAGGACAAAGCAAAAGGTTGAAATGGGTTTGCAAAAAGTGACTGGGCCAAAAAGCCGTCCTGGAGTCACCAAGCAAAATAAAAGGCGTTGGCAGGGGAAAGCCACGACGTCCAACTCAAGCAACTATAAGATTATGTAAGTAATTGAACCGAATGCTTAGCTGACTCGACTGCGACATATGCCGAGCTCCATGATCGTGAACGTTTGGACGATGTGTTCCACGAAAATATACGAAAATTGGATCCCATCCCATCGTTCTTGTTGGAACTAGTGCTACCCCTTTTCTTCACTCACACGACACCACCAGTCACCACGAGTCACCACGCCTCAGATCCTCCTTCAAGCGGCTGTCCGTCGCCAAGGTGCCCGTCTCCTCCTGTGGCGGCTGTTGGGGCGATGCTGGGGCGGAGCCATCGCGCTCTTCGTGGATCAGGTCAGAATCCATTGGAATTCACGATGGAAATCCAAGACCAGCACCAATAGCACCATGTTGATTCTGCAAACCAGTTCGGAAAAACACGGAAAGCGGAGCAGCTGCATTTTATTGCTGGGTAGTCGGACCTCTTTTTTTCATGGCTTTAACGGTGTTGTACGTACACTACGCAGAAGACCACCTGCCCAAGTCGAACGGCAGAGAAAACAAGTATATAACATTACACTTGTCGGACCTAAGTCTGTCGGGTTTTTACGATGTTATACGCACATGACGCAAAAAGACTACCTGCCCAAGTCAAACGGCAAAGAAAAACAGCCAAGTGGACGAACATCGCCGCAAAAAAGTAAAATAACAGCAGCAAAGCCTTCAACATAGATCCCACAGCCCCAATCACTTCCAACATACCTCCACGAGAAGCCCCAACAGAGCCCCAACATTGGGCGAAACGTGCCAACATGGAGAAGGATATGCCCCAAGAATGCACCAAGATCGCCGAAGATTGGTGCAAACATGCCCCAAATTTGACTGCCCATTGGAGCAAGCTTTCGTAAGCAACAAAAACGACAAAAAAACTGTCAAAGCCACCTTTCTTACACTTGTCGGACCTCATTTTCATGGATTTATGGCGTTTTAACTTACGCACAGTACGCAAAAAACCACCTGCCAAGTCAAACAGGGCAGAGAAAAAGCAGCCAAGTGGACCAACATGGCCGCAAAACATAACAGCAGCAAAGCCTTCAACATAGCCCTGATCTAGACCCCA